CTGGATGTCGACGTCCTCGAACTGTTGGAGGAAGGCCTGCGAGAACGTATCGAGGTCGACGAGCGGGCCAGTGTAAGCCGGTACCGGGTGTCCCTGCTGCTGGGCTTGAAGCGCTATCCGTCGATACTCCGCATATTCGGCCATAATCTGCTTGTACCACATGGCGGCGGATTGATCAAGAAGCGTGGAGACCAGGACGATCTTGTTGTGGTCCGTGAGCGGGTTACCGGTGGCTTCCTCCTCGGCGACGAGGTCGTTCTGCACGTTCCGGACGAAGTCCCGTGGCGTGGGGTCATAGACGCCCTTGTTGTTGGAGACACCGGAGAACGTGCGTGGGGTGTGGACGCGGATGTGCGAGCGCTGTGGACCTGGCGCTTGCTGAATGATGATCGGCTGCGGCGGGGCGTTGAGCTGGGCCTGCTGGTTGACCACCGTCTGCTGCAGGTCACGGATCTGCCGGTCCTTGCCAACACTGATCGCGTTGGCGCGGGCCTCTGCAGTCAAGTGCGCTGGGGAGTGCCTGGCGTTGGTACGCATCCACCATTGGACCGCTCCGGTATCCGGGTTGGTCTCCTTCCAGATCAGGAGGTCGTTGTCTAGGGTGCGTGGGAGACGGTAATCATCCGCATCGTCTGCATCGATGTGGAAGCCACCCTGCGGAAGGTCCGCGGGGTAATTGGCGGCGTCGACAAAAGGCATGGTTTAAAATTCGGGCGGGAAGTCTTCGGGATGCGTTGCAGGTGTGGGCGAAGCGGCGGGTTCGAAGTTGAAGGTGATGGCCTTCGGGGTGCGGAGAGGCGAGGGCGGCGGCAATGGTAAGCAATGCGAGCTGATGATGACCGATAACTGCGATGGGTCCCAAATGACGGCCGGTATGGGTCCGTCGCGAGCAAAGCGTAAGTGTTGGAAGGCGGGCTCGTACGTGTAGTGAAGAGTGTCCAGGTGATCCTCATGGTAGATGACTTCCAAGCTGGTGAGGCGGCTGTACTCCACCAAGAGCCTGCCAGAACTACGTTCAATGTAGTTGGTGAGAACAACGGCGTGCTCAAGGTGAGCGTGTTGCGAGCGGCGAAGACTGCGGAGACGGCGATAGACCCAACTCCTTAACGCGATTCCTGGAATTGAAAAGGGGACTACCAAGTTTGGTAGGGTAGCAGACAAAGCGAGGCGAGGCACAATGACGAAGCTAGCAACGGTAGCGACAAAGGCGGTAACGGCGGCGACGAGCGTGAGAGCGAGTTGAGAACCTTGATCTAATGTCAGCAACGGCTAGGCGGCCGCTTACTAAC